AGCACCTGCAGCCAGCCCCGGATGTCCTCAAGAAATGCAGTTAGCGGGACAACCTTGAACCGCCGTGAGTTGGGAAGTTGTGCAACAAACAACTGCGCGGTATAAAGTGGGAGCAAACAGTTGGGCGTCATGTGAGAATAGATAGATAGATAGATAGATAGATAGATAGATAGATAGATAGATAGATAGATAGATAGATAGATAGATAGATAGATAGATAGATAGATAGATAGATAGATAGATAGATAGATAGATAGATAGATAGATAGATAGATAGATAGATAGATAGATAGATAGATAGATAGATAGATAGTAGCAAGAAAATTTGTGATACGCGCATCCAGATTGCTACCCTACCCACGGTGAAGTCAGTTAACGGTTAGAAGATGAGAACATGGTTGGTAGGGATATGTCTGTGAGAAGAACATCATTCTAAGCAAGGAAGCCACTAAATAAAAGCGGACTTATTTAAACAGAGCGACCGTACTATACATGTGAGGCAGGAACAAAGTTAGCTTTCGTTTATTCATACGGCAAAGTATAGAAAGGCACCATCGTGGTCGTATATTCCTATTCTGTGCGATGCCGGCGAAGGTTAAGGCAGCGAGGGGCGCTGCCTTAATCGAAGAGACACTGGCAATAGAGTCAGGTTCACGAAAGCTAAGCCTCGCGGTGGCCGAGGCCCGATTTCTAGTTTATGCAGAATGCGGAAGGCTTATAACCGTAGGCTCACAGGGAGGCTGCATACGCAGAGCTGTTGCGCGCGCTCAACTGAATATATCAAATGTCGCAAGCGCTGCTGATGAGACACGGAAAGACACATATTTGAACTGAAATAGTTATTAGACATCCGTTTCCGATTTCTGGATGCGAAGCATCTTTTTCGCTCACGTGTGTGTAACTCCGTGCGTACGTTCGTAGGTCACGCCGCAGCTACGCGTTAACGTCACGCTCCCCTCGCACGCTTCCTTCGCAGGTGCACGCTTACGCCACCCTCTCCCTCCCCCGAAGCTGCCGGCTCCTCCACCCGCTCGCAACACACTTCTCTCTCGCTTCACCCTCTCCACCACCCGCAAAGATCGACCGCACGTCGAGTGGAAACACTCTTCCGGTTCGTTTATCTGCGATCAAGCTTACACGAATCTCAAACCACCTCCCATGTCTTTGTGTTTCAAACAAACGTTTACTCGACTGAACGCTAAACCAAGCTTCGCTCCAAACCGTTCTTCCAGCACCCACGTCGGCGCCCGTTTCAACCGGGTCAACGCCATGCGCACCATTGCTGCTTCACGTTCCATCAGAGTTCCCTTTGGAGAGATGGTCCATAATTTTTAGGCCCATCGTGCTAACAGAATTCACTAGTATTGCTGGTAGAGCTTCGACCTGCGCGGCTGTCATTGGCATGTTCCAAGTGCTGTAAGTGAAGTGCACGTGGCAAACATGCCACAGGATGCGTGCGGCGCACAGCGGCCAAAAAAGAAGCTCTATGATAACGAGTGGCCGATAATAAAATGCAAGCCTGCTTTATCTCTCGTTTCCGACCTATAAACCCCTGACATTTACATAGATGTATTGCAGAGCAAACATGTAGGCCTGGGACAGGCGTACTATCAGACCGTGCGCACATTCGACACATAGCCTATAGGAATCGCAAGAAGCGGGACCGAGGTCGAATGATCAGTGTTCGATAATGTTTATCAAAACGCATAATTTTCTCTTTTTGTGTTCTCGCTTTTGCACTGCAGTGCCTCGATAATGTAAAAAAATACTGAGTGCCTTATTCATAAGGCCAGAAAAAAAAAACTTGAGCCAAAAAGAAGTTGCCTCTTGCATAAAACTCGCAGAAATGCCTCGCTGGTCGGTACAGTAAGTTGAGGTGTGTGCACAGCGAACCGGACAACTGATGACGCAGTACGAAATTCGGCTCGTCATTCACTGCTAGTAGTGTACTTACACGGACAAACAGCAAGCCAGACATATGCTACGTTAATTAACAACTCCCGTTGAAAAAAAATTCCGTGTTTGCTCTGTGCAAACGTTATGCCTCCATAGGAAGTTGTCTGCGAACGTTGACTACCACTTTTCTTCAAGGGTTATTTTTTTCCACCTACATCCTTCACAGCTAAAGTAGGGTAATTATACAAAGGGGCTCGTCTTTTCTGTTATACGTAATCAATGAAACGAACTGACACTTAAGCAAAGAAAAAAAGTTAGACTTAGGAGACATTACTTGTAATTTCTTAGCTATACTGCAACAATTCTCGCCATAGTTCTCGCTCTCTCTCTCAGCTGTATTACAATGATCCGATCCAGCAGCCTGGATTTCAAGGTTATGGGTTGGGATCCCGCCGAATGGATGATTGATATGTGGGGTTTAACGTTCCCAAACCACCATATTATTATGAGAGACGCCGTAATGGAGGGCTCTGGAAATTTCAACCACCGGGGTTTTTTTTTTAACGTGCACGCAAATCTGAGCACACGGGCCTACAACATTTCCGCCTCCATCGGAAATGCAGCCGCCGCAGCCGGGATTTGAACCCGCGACCTGCGGGTCAGCAGCCAAGTACCTTAGCCACTAGACCACTGCAGCGGGGCGGGATCCCACCGAAGGAAACAGTGATTTTTCGTCCACATTAATACATTTATGTCAGACGCAGAACAGGTAAGCGTGGCACTACACCTCTTTGTCATTGTTGGTTTACTGTGCTTCAAAAAAATTTTCCCGGTAAAACCAATAGCGGATCTCTTCTTTTAACTCATCAGGCAACAATGCATAAAAAATTGAAACAAATATAAGAGTTCGACAAGCCGTGCTTTGTTCGACCTTACGTGAAATCACCCTACTGTGTCACGCTCGCATTGGGAATCATGGGCTAGCGGCAATATCGTTCGAGCGTGACAGCGTGCCAAAGCCTGCCGACACCACATCCATCTTGTTGGCAACGTTTTGTGTCTCTGTTGTGGAAGATGGCTACGCTGCCTTCATTCATTCGTCGCGGAGAACCTCTTGAGAATATTATACTGTAGATCAGCACGATGCCAAGTTGCCGACGTGGCATGATAGAACGCTCACATTGCTGATCTTCAAGCGCTCATCTTGTAAAAGCTTGGCACAAAGCACCAGTAATGAAGGGCCGATAGTGTGAGGCGCTATTTTCATGGTGATCCTAAGAAAATTCGAGCTAGCATCCTCGGATTTCAATAAAATAGTTCTTTATATCTATGTATTTCGCTCGAAATGCCGAAAGAATATACACTGCGACACCCAAAGCGGATATTCCTGATGCGGATATACTAGTTCGTGGTAGAAATACACCGGAGGCCTCAGACTAATGCATACCAATGCACCCTGTTGGTTTCTGTCCTTTAATGTACCCGATACTCGATAAAGTATATTTACGCATACGTAGGTACATACACACAGAATCTAATAAGCATTGCTGCTGCTACATCAAGCCCGAACCATTTTCTGAGCACGTTCCAACGCTCGTGATGCATATTTCATGGAGTCACCACCACACACGTGCGTAACTCCCACTTTCTTTGCGTGCTGGTCTGTGGATATGTCGGTGGATACATACGCAAAGTTTATTGCGCAGCAATGGCGTTGTGACAGAAAAGCAACCCGCAAAGCCAAAACCCGCGCCTCGTGGCATTTCGAAATGCTTCCACCCAACTCGGCCTGATGGTTTTTTTTTTTTAAGCAGGTTTGCATTTGGGCATCGTTTTTGCTGATCTACGAACGTTCTAAAGAAAGAAAAAAAAGAAGAAAAATGACTGCATCACCCACGCCACTGCCAAACGGCGCAAACGCTGGCCGGTTTCCGCGTTTTGAAGCTGCCCGCTCAGAAGGACTCGCTGATGGAGACACCGAAGGTGTTCTCGAGCAAAAAGCAAGGGCTGCAGAAGAAGAGAAACGCTTCCACCGAGACCGGGACGACACGCGCCAAGGAATCGGCAGCCACAAGTCTCGATGCGGCGTGCGGAGCCATATTTCGTTCTGACGACGCTCCAACGCTCTAAGCGACAACTAAAACCGTCGGAAAGAAAAGTCGGAGTCAGTCGTCCTGTACGCGACAAGAGGGAATGCGCGGCTTTGATTCACGCATTTTGTGCGTTGCTTGTCGTCGTTTTGTTTTTCTCACTCGCTGTTTCCTGCCACGTCGAGTAAGAGAACTATCGTTATGGGCGACGGTTGGGGAGGAGACGATGGGAACGCCTTAAGAAGGTGGCGCAAATGCCACAACAATGGCGCCTAAATCGGTCTGCTGCGTCTTCAGGATGTCGAAATCGCGAGCTGCACAAATGTCGCTCGCTGGCTCATTCACGCGCCAGTTCCCATTCTCTCTCATATATATATATATATATATATATATATATATATATATATATATATATATATATATATATATATATATAAGGACACCACAGATTGCGTGGTATGGCTGCTTTTCTCGCCGTTCACTGAGGCCGGCCAACATTAGTCACTGCCGCTTTCTCTGTGTGCCTGTACCTCGTTCTTCCTGTCGTCAACGCTGCTGCTGTTGCCAAGATGAACGCTCTGGAGACCACTCAAGCCTCGCTGCCACTTCAGTGCGTGCGAATGATGGATTCGCAACGAATGAAGCCAAAAATGAATGAGCACCTGTGAGTAACCCAACAGCAGCTAAGAAAGAAAAAAAGGAGTGTAAGCCTAAACGTAAACGTTGACAGAGTGTGAAAGAAGGAATAAACAAATCATAATCAATCAATCATATAATCATTCAACCAACCAATTAATATACTCGACATATTCCTAGTCCGAAAATGTGCAGGAAGTAACACTAGAAAATATACCATTGCACTGGCAGCGTTGCGTAAGCATCGAGAAACTGAGGTGAGTGTGGCGGGGTGGTGTAGCCTAACGGTGGGTTCGACCGAACAATCCAGAGCTTGGAAGACTTGCATTACAGGTTGAATAAAATGTGTATGAATGCAAGGAAGATATGGGTGCTTACTTTCTGGCGAAGAACCTTGCGTAGACGTCTTTCTTTTCGTCGGGCGAGGAGTCATCGTTGCCCAGCTCGCTGATGCCGAAGGGCACCGACTGAGCGCCGCTCAGGCTGCCCCGATGCCGAGGAGGCTGCTGAGAATCAGAAGCCGAAGGATGCTGGGAAGGCGCACTTTCGGGCTCTGCGAAACCAATGAAAGAAACGTCAGGATAGCTGAAGGCAACGAAAACTTTGAACATATTGTTCTGAGTAACACTATGCAAAATGTAAAAGCAATAAATTGTAAGGATAAGTTCTGCAGAACCAACGCATGGTCTAATAGGGTCAATTTACCAAATTGCTAAATGAATGATTAACTAGTTATCGTTGGCTAACTCGATAGATAGATAGATAGATAGATAGATAGATAGATAGATAGATAGATAGATAGATAGATAGATAGATAGATAGATAGATAGATAGATAGATAGATAGATAGATAGATAGATAGATAGATAGATAGATAGATAGATAGATAGATAGATAGATAGATAGATAGATAGATAGATAGATAGATAGATAGATAGATAGATAGATAGATAGATAGATAGATAGATAGATAGATAGATAGATAGATAGATAGATAGATAGATAGATAGATAGATAGATGTCTGCGGGGATGTTCCCTTGCAATGTCCCAAACACAGAAAAATAATCTAAAATCTATGTTAATTATACCCAGGGAAACACCTAGGAAAGAGAGTTGAGAAAAGAAGTGTGAAGGCAAGCCTTGGTGGATAAGTCTGAAAAATTTTCGACCTACCACCACGGGCACACAGTAAACCTACGTACATGGTGTGCGGTCACCGTGGTCAGGAGTCGAACCCGCGATGGCAAGTGTGGCAGGACAACGTTTCCAAAAGCATCTAATACAGTGCAGCCCTTGGTGAGAGAATACGTGTTTCGGCCTATCTATAGTGTGTCCGCCGCGGTGGTACTGTGCCACATGGTTAACGGTGCTACGCGAAAGTCGCGTGTTGAATTTCGGCCGCGGCGGTCACATTTCGACGGAGGTGAAATGTTAGAGGCCCACGTACTTCGATTCAGTTGCACGTTGAAGAACCGCAAGTGGTAAATATTACTCCGAACTCTCCATTACGACGTGCCTCATATTCATTTGGTGGTTTCGGTACGTAGAAGATAAAAGTCCAGATATTATTATTATTATTATTATTATTATTATTATTATTATTATTATTATTATTATTATTATTATTATTATTATTATTATTATTATTATTATTATTATACAGTGATGTTAACTTTGCATGACTTAAGACAAGCAGCAGTTATGAACTACAACGTTCCTGTATTTGGGTCTCTCATGTATCAACAGTGAAAGAGAGCAGGATGACGTCAATCACTATACCGTTGGCGTCGCCTCGCCATGACTCTGTAGCGAAGGGATTCGCGCTCAGGATTCATCGCTCAGCAGCAGTGCGCCAGAAAGTGTGTCAACGGGACCCGTTATACTGGGTTATCGCAGGCGTAAGCATTAGCGAAGGTCGCAAGTTCGTTTGCGTACAGATTGCGAAGTACCCCGCCAAGATAAGATAACGAAGGCATGCGCACCCTCAGCAATGTTTCTTTTTTTTTCTTTTAATAGCTTTAACGGGGTCGTGCACACGAATGTATAGAGAATGCAGACGTGCGCGAAATATTCTAAAACCTATAGAGTTGAGCTGCTCGTTCTTGAGTGCCCTTCATCATTGAAGGGTTGGTTTCACTTGACTGGAAGCTAAAGAGCCGGAAGACGTTTTGACTCATGAATTAAAAAAAAATCACAACATCGAAAACACGACGCTTGGTAAGCCAGGAAATGCGCGAAAAGAGAGTGCGGGTGGAGCCGCCCCCTCGAGATTCCCGCACCCAACACCGTGACGTCATAGATTTTGAATAGCTCCACTGGGTCCTACGGAGCTTCTAATCAATAAAAATTAAGTACATACTCGTCTGAGGATGGCATAGACCTAGCAAAATTAGTTTTGAAAAAAAATTCGGCGAGCCAGTGTGGCGAAAATACGAAAAATACATTTTGAAGTTTTTCCCGTCAAGAGCGGACATTCAGGCGCCAAAGTTAAAAAGAACATTCAACCTTGATTTTCTACGCTAATGTTGAACTTGTGCTAGTGAAGCATATGACAATAGAGTTCTCAGAGTACAGTCTGTCAATCAAAATCAACTCATTGTTTCTCGTGAGTGTGCCTTTAAGATGCGCTCACTATGAAATTGGTCGACAAGATAGTCTGGTGCAAACTTTTCCTGGCATAAAACATGAAAGTATTGTTAGGAGTCTTAGGTCCCAAAACCACGGTGTGATTATGAGGGGTGCCGTAGCACAAGGCTCCGGAAATTTCGACAGTGTGGTGTTCTTTAACGTGCAGTGACATCGTAGGGTACACGGCCCCAACCGTTCCTGGCGCAATATACTGTCCTGGACAGACAGTTATAGTTTACCGTTAGCGTGATAGCGTGGGTTTAGTGAATAGCGTTACCGTGCCGCAAACGGTCGTTGCGGATGGCGTGTTGTAGTTTAGCGGGATACCGTTTACGCGGTTTACGTGCCCAAGCTGGGTCGGTGGCGCCACCCAGCGGAGAACAGTGCAAAGAAAAAGAAAAAACGAAAATGCTTGCCAGTGTCACACACAAAAAGAAAAAGAGTGCGTACGGTGAATGATACGGGTCACATACACTGCGCATGCACACTTCGATCCTACTATTACGCTATGTCCACTATCCCGCTAAGAACGCTAAACTGTAACTGTCTAATATGCGTCCTGAAACGTAGTAGGCGGTAGCATTATTTCGTTATTTGCTTCGGTTAAATGTGAGCTCTCGCAGCGAGAAAGAAAGATAACGAGAGAGATATACTGGAAAATAGCTCCTTACAGCAAGTCGTAAAAAGTTACTGTAAAGTCGTAAAGTGCCTAGGAGCTCCCTAAGCTGTGTTTAGAAAAAAGTGGTTAACCTTTTAGAGTGCTTGCTAATCCACTACGGGAACGCAGAAAGCTGCCCCGGGGGTCTCACACTTGATCAGGCCGTGTTGACAAAAATTGGTAATCACTGGGTGGCTGCATTAATGCTTTATACAGTTGTTTAGAAAAAAAAATATTCTATCGTAGTACCTAAGAAAGTATAAAAAACAGTGTTCAAACATTAAGGGCAGCAATCAACACACACAAATGACTGAGCGCAGAGTAAATGAAACGTTAAAACAAAAATGTCCAGTTCCATGAGAAGTTTGTAACACGTGCTACTATGGACCAACACGTACACCCACATTTATGATATTATACATAATTTACATCAAGATGTATACACAAAATATACAAAGCCTCACCATTATGTAAGTATAGTATGTGTAAATCTGATGCTATGGCGCAATCTATTTAAGTAAATGCATAGTGATGTCATGAAAGTTTTATATACAACCGACGGGTAACAAAACATGCACACATAAAAAACAACATATACATACAGATTATAGTTATGTGGAAACCACTGCCGTATGGCATGGCTTGGTGAAAAACCAGCGGTGCCCGTCCATCAAACACCGGTAAGAAATGGCATGACCACTACAGTAGAAATTCCTCTTCTCTAAGAAAGAACGATTGCTTCGACAGAAAAGATAAAAGCTCCGAGAAAAATATCATAATTGGATGCAAAGCACCGCGACGGCGACCCGGTGCAGCGACCTCCAATTTATTACGCCACAAAGAAAAATCCCACTCTGCAAATAGAAACCTAACGAAGCGACTGCGTGAGCAACAACTAAAAGTGACCATACAATGAACTCCTAGGCCACGAGAACCTGCGTTCACGGCTCTCCGAAATACCCATGCAATAACACATTGCTGAAGGACATGCTGGTTTGACTCTTGTAGCGGGCAATTAGGGCAACTGGAAGAAGGGACTTCACCGCACCTCTCCTGTCGGTCTCGTGTTGGGAGTACTTGTCACACCATTGATTGATTGATTGATTGATTGATGTGTGGGATTTACCGCCTCAAAACCATCATATGGTTATGAGAAACACCGTACAGTGGAGGGCTCCGAAAATTTCAACCACCTGGGGTTCTTTAACGTGCATCCGAATCCGAGCACATGAGCCTACAGCATTTTCGCCTCCATTGCAATTGCAGCCACCGAAGCCGGGATTGAATCCCACGACCTGCGAGTCAGCAGCCACGTACCTTAGCCACTAGACCACTGCGGCGGGGCTATTGTCACCCCAGGCGCCTCATGAAGTAGCAGAGATGGCCAGCCAGAAAGCATGTCCTTATTACGATCCATGAGACACGCCTAGTACTTGCTAGACGGACTGGAGGAACCATAGGAAGCTGCAGGGCCGCCGTTTTATCCACAACGTGGTTTTATAGCTATAAACTAGGACAAACCTGCTGTGCGTGGCACTAAAACGCTACAGTCATCTAATTGAATGCAGGTGTGTTAAGAAGTTGCAGCGCGGATTTAAGTCATGCGTCTGGTACCAAGGGGCGTATCTTAGTACCTAAAATAAGTAGTAGGCCAGATCACGCGCAGGGCTGTGATCACCGTGTAGCAAGTGAAGCAAGAATCACAGAGCAGCCGGTAGCGAATAGACATAGATGGGAAAGCGAATCGACCACTGTTGCGTGGTATAGCGCCAGCTGGCGCAACCACGTCACAGTGGTGGATTCGCTTTCCAATCTACGGTTGTAATAACTGTCAGTTCAAGCGCACGAATTATCAGAAAGGAAGACAGGACAAGCGCTTTTTTGCTTGTCCTCTCTTCAATGCATATTCAGCTAGCACAACTTTCGATTCCGTTGCATCTATGTCCGATTTGCCTTGCCGCACAAGAGCAGCACAGTAAAGCAGCTCAGTTCAACTCGACCAGAAAAACGATCCCAGAAGCGATTGAGTCGACCTATAGTTACTCGCAATGGTGCTTGTACAACATTGTAAACGTGCCATGCATGGCTTCAAGATAGAGGTACTGCCTTTTTATGCCAGGTACTGCCTTTTCAGTAGAGGTATTTGTACTCTTGCGCCTTACACGTCGTTTCACATCTTCAAGTACTTGAATCCACATCGACAGTGATACAGCGTGGCAAGCCCCACATTGCGAATAGAGTTGCTTCATTTAAGATGAAAATAAGG